GGCGCTGTAAAGCACCCGAAACGTCGGGATAATAATAAAAATAAATTAAAGTAATTAAACGCGATAAAATCCGTAAATAATAGTTTTATTCAATGTGTAGTGTTCGCGTAAATTTAAGAAATCATTATGTAGTTTATTTCTCGTAAATAATGAGATAATAGTCTCTGAAAAACACACTATCGCAAGGTTTTGGTCGCGGGTATCGCCTTAAGAATGACTTACAACGTGACTAAGAATGCCGCGTCACATGTACAAAAAAGGTTTATTCTTGTCACTTTACGTTACACGACACCGTACGAAACACATGATTACGCTGCTATTTTACGCAGACAATCTGTGCAAGCCTGATCCTTCTGCATGTTTTAAAAAAAATCGGACATTTTGATATCAATATAGAATCAGAGCACGTGTATGATTTATGTGTTGCGTTAAAACATGAAACCCTTTTTATTTATTTATCTGATCTGATAGTATAAAATATGCATATACTGTATAACCAAACCCTTAAAATATTAATAAAATTAAAGACTTTAAGGTTGTGTATCACGAATGGGTCGGTTCGTCCAGGGTAGGACCACGCTCTCACAGGACACCAGCTTAAAATAGCAGCTATATTTCGTATAGTGAGTGTTGAGAACCGGAGACCCATTTTAGTGGAAACGAGGCATTCCAGGGCATTTTAGGGATGACAACACATCTAATTACCATCAGCTGAACTTAGAGCTCACTTGTCACCCTTATTCTTTAAAAATGCTGTAAAATATACGTGTGTTTTTTTTAACTTATCGAATGTTCTTTCATGTTTGAAATATCAAATAGGTTCTCGTTACTGCGAAAAATTTCTAGGAAATATCTTGAGTTTCAAAAGTTGCTGCTAGTGGTTTGGATTATTGCCAAAAATATGTAGTTTCATGACTGCATTTCTTGTAACACTATTTTTTTAATATTTTTTGATAGCGTAGCCAAATATTTCGAGTTCAACGAATTTTAATGTTTTATGATTAAAGTAATTTTTTTAAATAAATTTTTATTAAAAACCTTAATTGCTACAGCTTCGTCTAGGACGTATTGCGTGATCAATTATTGATAATCATCACTTACACAACTTTTATTACATATAATATATATAACATTAAATATGTTATATTTTTATATAGTGTTTGTCAAAAGGTGTTGTAAAGGTGACTCATTGTAGAGATTGGAGAATTAGATTCTAGAAGCGCCTTACGGAATACTAGGTCTACAACAAATCCTTGAGGGGAGTTCTGGACACCATACGTAAAAGTTACAGCCTATATACGTCCCACTGCTGGGCACAGGCCTCTCCTCATTTATGAGAGGGTTTTAGGGCAAGGAAGTGCCTGCCGCGCTGCCCCAATGCGTGTAGGCGAAGTTCACATGTCTTTGAAATATTCTTTCTCTTATTTCTCATACATACAGGTTTCCTCACGATGTTTTTCTTCACCGCCGAGCACGTGGTAAATCAGCACTTAAAATTGCAATTAACAATTTCATTGGTGCCGGCGGGGATCGAACCCGGGTTACTCGCGTTCTGTTATGTCTACAGCAAGCGTTAACCATCTGAGCTACCACGGCTCACCACGAGCACACGGACGCCATACGTAGTTTCTAATATTTTTTTTATAGAATAAGGATGACAAACGAGCACACAGTCCACCTGATGGTAAGTGGATGCTGTGGCCTATAGACATCTACATTTATCCTCCAATAAGAATCAAAACGCAGATGCGTTGTCACCCGTGAGGACTAAGATGGAATACCTCGTTTCCAGTAAAAGGGTCTCCGGTTCTCTACACTCACCAAACGAAACACAGCAGCATTAAGCTACTATTTGACCCTAGTATTCTGTGAGAGCGTGGTCCTTCCCCGGTTGAGCCGACCCATTCGAGCTACAACCATAATATAGCTGCACCGTGGCCTATAAACTACCACGCAAATATTTTTTTTAAATATTATAGTAGTAAAAGAGTTCGTGCTGATTGTAATAGCTGATTGAGTATCTACATTTTCTAGATCATTTGTTTTGCACATTGTCGTTTTATTAGCTGATTTCGCGGTTTCTAGCCGATCGCATTCATGTAATAAATAGTGAACAACCAATGTAACACACAGGAAGAATTTGGTTTAGTTTCATTACGTGGTAGAGCCATGCTGCAGCTTTGTTGAGGTTTTGGCACCAATGAGACGGTTCGACAGTGAAAGAACCAAGCTCTCTCTCCTATTAAGAATTATTTGGTATTCGTAATAACTCCACGACTCTCGGTTGATCAGGCCGATTGTCTGTGGGTTTATTAGAAATATTATTTTCTCTATTATTTGTCTTATTGTTATTTTCCATTTGTCTCCTCCGGTTTCTAGTCATGATTGCCACCGTACTACTCTAATGCATTACTTTAAATTTATCGGATGTTATGTTAATTCTTGATAAAGCATCGGCTATCACATTGTCTTTTCTCTTAACATATGTGATATTAAAATCATATTGTTCTAATTCTAAACGAAATTTCAATAACCTACTGGAAGGGTCCTTCATCCCGAAAAGATATATCAAAGGTTTGTGGTCTGTCATAATAGTGAATTTACGCCCAAACAAGGTTGAAAATAGTTAATAACCCAAACGACAGCGACCAATTATTTTTGAATTGTAGGATAGTTTTTTCCGCTTTGTTTAATGGTCATATAGTAAAAACGTGAAATAGTAGCTTAATGCTATTGTGTTTCGTATGATTAGTGTACAAAACTGGATAGTAGTAGTAGTATATACTTTATTGTACACCAACATATACAACGAATAAATACATTACAGAGGAAACTTAATATATACGTATGTACAATAAGGCGGTCTTATCGCTAATGAGCGATCTCTTCCAGACAACCTTTGGGCTAAGGAGAAACTGGAATTAAGAACAGTAGGAGGTGGTGCATTTTATGTTACACTTACATTCTAATATCTAAATAAACTAAACTATATTTTGTTAAAATACCACAATAATACATAAAAATAATAATAATAATAATAAAATAAACATACATATTAATAAATAGGTTTATATATATAAATATATACACATACATATGTATACATAGATAATAAATAAATAAATATAAAAGAAAAACACAGAATAACTATCTGTTGCTAGAATTGGTTATCAATAACCACAAAGTGTTAGGTAATGCTTCTTGACGTCACTTTTGAAACTTTCCAAAGTTTGTGCACGTTGAATTTGGAGTGGAAGTTCATTCCATAACCTTATGGCTTGGCTCGTAAAAGAATATTTCATAAATTTTGTTCGAAATGAACATGGTTCTAGAATTAGTTCGCCGGCTGACCGAAGAACTCTATCAGGTCGATCATGACCAAGAAACTTAAAGTTTTCCTTCATGTAGCTTGGAGTCAAAGGATTGAACAACACACAGTACAGAAGAGATACAGTTTGCAAATTCCGGCGAAAGCGAATGGGTAACCACTTGAGCTGTAAACGATATTCGGTTACATGATCATATTTGCGCAAACCAAATATGAACCTAATTGCAATACTTTGAATTCGCTCAAGTTTGTTCAGTTGGTCTTCAGTTAAATCGAGGTAACTTGCGTCCGCATAATCGAGAATAGAGAGAAGTAAGGATTGTGCTAACATAATCTTAGTGGGAATGGGGAGAAAAGAACGTAAACGACGAAGTGAACCCATAGTAGCAAACACCTTTTTGCTCACTTGTTACTGTTGTTGGATATTACTGGAAATGAGGTCTTGCATCTTAGTTCTCAGGGCTGACGACGCATTAGCATTTTCATTCTTATTTTATATTTGGATAGATGTTATTCATTATCTGGTTAAATTATTATTTTTATTAATTTTATAGTTCACCTTTTATGTTGCGCTATTAAAAAAAAACTATAGGTACCTATTTAATTCATCTTAATTATTTATTAAGCAAATTAATTATGAACCAGTAAAAAAAGAAATACCTATCAAAAAGCAAGTCTTAAATACAAAGTGCAGTATAAAGATTTTCATAATAATTAAATTTTACGTTGTTTAGGTTATTTATGTTATAAATGAATTCTCATAGTGAATATCAAACGCCTGCCTCCTTTATCTTATTTCATTGTGAAGATGAATTATCAGTATCTAGATTTTCTAGATCATCTGTTTTGCACATTTTCGATTTATTTTAGTCATTCCCGGAAATGACTTTAACCATAAAATTAGCTATATTTGAACTTAATTACTTCTGAGGATGGTCTTAATACAGAAATAACTTAGTTTTAGATAATTTTTTACAATACATACCTAATAGATCAATTCAAAAATAATGTTTGGAGAAATTTCATCTCGCGTTGGAGGTAAGGCAATATTTTTAATCTGGCTGCCTTATTACCTTACTTCTCGTATTTTCTCTGCTAGGCCTAGCCTTCAATAAAATAACTAAATTATCTTTGCTGAAAACCAGCTAGGGTTTGAGTTGGCCTTATTCGACAGAAAACATTTTATTATTTTCTTAATGTGTTTGTGTTTTGCGTAGAGGCTTGTGTCGAATAAATTTACTTTTCTGTTTTTTAATGTTAGTTCTGAAGGAAGACCCTTATCGTAGCTAGAATAACAATTACCCACTTCGTTCATGGAGGTCTACTGGCAATACCTGGTGACCTAACTAAAGTACAGGTTTAGATGTTAACACATATTTATTGTTCTGCACATTAATGCGTATTGTTGGCGGAATGAAAGATGAAATAAATGAGTAATCGCACGTGGTGAAATCTGATAAAAAATTCTGCTTCTAACAGATCTAAACTCTAAAAGCCATTGGATAAACAAGTTATACACGAATTTGCCCATGTATATTATTCACGCTTACTTATTAGGTAGAATAAGATACCAAAAATAATTTTGAAGCATTACTTTTGTAATCAAAAAAATAAATAAAAAGTATCATATTATTATTGAGTGTTGCAATTGACGAAAAATATATATTTGCAGGCAACCGGAATGACACCACTTATGTACGCGGTAAAGGACAACCGTACGACCTTCGTGGAGCGGCTTATAGAACTTGGATCTGATGTTGGAGCAAGAAACAATGTGAGTAATACATCTGTTATTGATTTCTCATATAGACTGCAGAATTACGTGAGGGTCAGGTCTCAAGTCATTTTTATGTCCCTTCGTCTTCCTCTTCATCAGGAGTCTTTGTCTTAATCGCCACGCTTGGCAGCGGATTGACCTTCACAGTACCAAACGTCTCGCACCTTTGGCGCCGGTCTGGGTATTTTACGTCTGATGTAAGCGAGATGACCATTGGCCATCTATCAGTAGCCATAAGATTTTCAAGTATTTACTCATTGTTGCCTTTTAAGACACCACAGGACTTAATGTTCTTTGACGTGGCAGTACCAAAATTAACTACAACCCAATCACACCGTTGGTAGAATCGTAACTACTGTAAATTCATTCTGTGTAGGCCGGACAGAATTTTTTTTTATAGGAGAGGGGGCAAACGAGCATGCGGCTCACCTGATGTTAAGTGACTACCGCCGCCCATGATCAACCGCAACACCAGGGGAATAGAAGGTGCGTTGCCAGCCCTTTTAGAAAGGAGTAAGCTCTTTTCTTGAAGGTCCCCAGGTCGTATCGGTCCGGAAAAATCGCCGGTGGTAAACTATTCCACAGAGAGGTTGTACGCGGAAGAAAACTCCTTTCGAAACTACTGTGGTGGACCGCCAAGCATCCAGATGGTGTGGATGGTATCGGGACGTTTGCCGCGTAGTGCGTTCACGAAATTTGGCGGCTGGGATTAATCCGAACAATTCCTCAGAGCACTCTCCATGGTATATGCGAAAAAATTAATATTTAAAAGCTAAAGGCAGCCCGGGCCTATGTCATCAGAAGTTCGAATACCTTTAATCCTTCCGTGGGAATGTCTGCTGCAAATATCTCAAAACGTCAAGAATTAATCATAAGTTAAAATCAAAGTGAAAAAATCCGTGTAATTAGGTTTACTTATCATCTTGTAATATACAAGCAATTCTTTAAGACACACCATCAGGTAGTCTCTTATACTTTCATTCATTCCTTTATTTTTAAATATAAGCAGTGCTTTTAATATTCATAATAACGTTAACGACATCAAATAAGCTAAAATGCTTGTGTTATGAGTGGCGGTTCACCACGATGATCTCATGGCAAATCGGTAATTCCTACTACTTTTAAGTTTATAATCAACAAACCAATCAAGCTCTTTAGGGCTTAAATAAAATCACATTTCACTTTGTATGTGTTCAAATCTTACGATACAAGACACAAGATTTCAACCCACGCATAATTGCGAATTTTAGCCATATGAAGGCTTTATTAGAGTAATATCTCAGTGGTTTCAACGTACATAACATACGTCTTAGTTAAGGTGTTACCTCGAAAATTTGGTCGTTTTTCTATTTAACATAGTTTTTTTAAGTTTTATAGATTACAAACCAAAACTTTGCTATATGATTTTTGACTATATGACGTTGGATTGCATAAAAGGAAAACACGATATCATGTAATTTTCTCGATAGAAAAAAATTGAAAAGTAGGCTCTAATTATTTACATGTCTCCATGACACCACAATATTCTTACGAATAAATTCATGGAATTATATTTAAGGCATAGTAAATAATCATATCTAAGTTCTCACGAACCAGTTTTTTAATTCATAACGAAGTTTTGTTAAAATAAATAAAAATGTTGTTTGGCGCTTACGTAGTTTTTTTTCACGTAGCGCTTGCTCGGTATGGCTATCTCATAATTTGCGTACTATGAAATCATTGCATCACTTTCATTTAGACACTCCCTCGGTCGTCCGTTAGCTTCACCGAAAAAAGAATAAGCTACGTCCCCAAAACTTCGATTCGTTTTCAAGGTATCCTCTTAAACAGTTTCCTGAGCGGATCAAAATTTATGTGTCTACTGAAGTCTTGGCCTCTACAGCAGCACATGCTATGATCAGCTATGATGTATCAAATATGAAAAAAAAAATACTGCAGACAACTACTGCGGCCACTAGAATGTATCAACAACGTATCACGAATACTTTGATACATTTTAGTGGCATGTATAACGCATTCAGTGACCGTATCATTCATGTTCAATACTTATTTAACTATGATGCCCGATCTGTTAGGAGCTTATTTTGTTCAGACAGACACGTCACGAGAAGCTTAGAGGGTTGTTATTGTGAAATATTTATATTTAAATACATATTCGGTAAAGTATCGTAGTCATATTAAAATTAGAGATCGGTTTAGTGACGTCTCGAGCTACGCAAGAAGCTTATCGGTATCTGCCAAATGATCCTTGTCGTGAATTCGTTGTCGGTACGTTCATGGCACGCTATGGGCGTGGACGTTATTGCCATCAAATTAAAAATAAAACATTATGAATCAAATTTGATTGAAAGTCATGCGTAAATCATAAATAAAACAATTTATATGTTAACTAAAATAATTTATTAACTGATATATAATTATTATTATTGATTTCCAAAGTATTTTCCATTAAACTTAAAGCACATCTTTATACGTTCAAATAATATTTGTAAACATAAGGACCATTGGTCCGAGGGCATAATTTTTCGTGCTGGTTAAAAGCTATCACGGCCACTTCTGGTTCTGTAGATGTCGAATACCGAGAAGAACGATAGGAAAGGCCTTCGTCCAAGATTCATTTTGGCACATCAGGGCTGCCTTAAGTTAACGGTGTACTACCTCGATCATACCCTTCGCGCATGGATGATATCCTGTGGTACGGGTTCGCTTAGTGCTATATATATATATATATATATATATATATATATATATATATATATATATATGTGTTAATAGCTTTGATTTCAATTGGCGTTATAATGGCAGGAACACCAAACCTTGAAATCCAACCTGCAATAAAAATACCGGCAACTTCTTCCGCCGTCATTGAAGTCGTCGGCCAAACTTCTGGCCACCGCGTGTACCGGTCAATAGCGATTGGACAATAGGTGTATCCATTTGAGTATGGAAGGGGGCCGACGAACGTGTCGAAAAGGATTGGAAGGGTTACTTAACTGTCCTATAGGTGAGGAAAGTATGTTGTGCGACGAAAAGGTTTAGTCAAAAACGGGCGCGGTCGACCAGTTAAGATGTCACACCAAAATGTGATGTCTGTACCGGGAATACTTACTCACCATCTTTAAATTCAAGAAGGGCGAATTGCGATGCTCAGCAAGCACAGAGTGTTATCACAGCCAAGATTGCGCTTCAAGTGATCGAGCGGCGGCGGCACACGTCGATGACATGCCGGACCGCTGGCGGCGTCTTTCCAGCCTTTCACTTTGGCCAGCGCGTGTCTCATTGGACCACGCCACCAATCTAGCATTGGGCGTGCCCGTGCAGGAAGGGATCATAAGTGAGAAGGAAGCATATTTTCAACTCATTTTTAGGGTATCAGTCCGATATAGTTCGAGCATTAAGACAACGATAATCGCCACACGAACTCGTTAAGCCATTTTTCTTGAAGATCATCTGTAAATAGAATGTCGAAGAATTGCAACATATCCTCAAACTCTTTCTTTACTGCGATAAGTTTATAAGGCGCAAAACGATAAGGAAGGCACGAAACTGGAGATCCCTCAGTAGTTTTGATAAAGTGCAGCATATTATACTCCACAATTTTAGGGAAACAAAGATGGCGCATAATATCCGGGAACTGAGCAAGAACCTGCGCAAAGATTGAGTTGATATATACCACGGCTTTCACATTGTCCTGAGCAACGTTGCTTAATGTAGCAGACACGTATTGCCGTCAATAAGACGTATATCTCTGGCAAAAGATTGTGATGGCTGAGAAAACCAGAACCAATTATAGGAGTACTCACATCCGCGATGACGAAGTTCCAATGAAAATCTCGCCTCAATCCAAAATTTAGATGGATAGAGATACTGCTATAGGTCTTATACTCCGGCCGCTGAGTTATTACCGATTTGACACATGACGAATTGACAATACTAGTGAAGTGACTGAACCAGTAACCCTAATATCATTTGGGAACAGTTTGTTTTTAAATATTCTAGTATAGTGTGTAATTAAATAAAATCAAAACAATAATAGTTAAAGACACAGGTTCTTTATTAGGTGGAGTATCCTTGTTGGGCGTAGATAATCGGTCGAGGACATATCAAAATAAAACAAATTTGTAAACACTGTTACAAATTTTAATGAATAGAGTAGGTACAAGATGTTTTAATAAAGGACTACCTATCATTTATTAAAACAATTATTCAGACTCTGAACCAGATTCGCCAGAGCTGTCATCGCTATCAGTCACTTGTATGACAATTTCATTCTCTATAATGGTATCCACTCTTATATCGCGTTCATAATCTTCTGTTATTAGTTTTCGAGTCTTTTCGACGACCTTGACCCAATCTTCTTTCGTTATTTTGCTGCAAGCATCTTTTAATAGACCCATCATTTTATTAGTACTGAATGGCGGAGTCGTATTATTACGAGCTGCGTAACCTGTAATGTAAACATTAAATAACGTTAATTTATTACATTAAATAAACGAAATGTTACACAATTACCTACATATAAGGGACATGAGACATTTATTTCTTAGTTATGTATCTTTTTACTTATATGTTGAATATTGGATGTTATAATAGTACAAATTATTCATATTCATAACTTATGCGATAAAAAACAATACCTTTGATTTGTGCCCATATTAACTCAATGGCATTGTACTGGCAGTGATAAGGCGGAATTCGAAGTACCCGATGTCCATGTGCTAGAGCTATCTATCGACTTCATAACGGACTTTTGATGTTTTATTTTCGCATACCAACTTTACTAAGTCAGACTTTAGCATTTCGGCAGTAGTTTCAATTCCATTTTGGTGTAGCCATGCTACGAGATCAGCTTTCTTGTCGGCCTGATTAGGCGCTTTATTCACTTGTTTCGAGTGATATGAAGCGTTGTCCATTATTATGATAGAAGGCTCTGGCAGGCTGGGTAATAATTGATTTTCGAACTAATTCGTAAAAGTGTCTGTATCCATCTCCTCGTG